ATGATGATGATGATAGAAGATGATGATGATGATGATGATGATGATGATGATGGGAGGAGGGAGGAGGGGGAGGAGAGAGGAGGAGGAGGAGGTGGGACGCGGGGCGCTGTCTCTTCAAAACGAGGACCCAACACCACAGGATGGTTGGGAAAAAAGATTCCCCATACTTTTCCATATGTTTTGGATGTCCGTCTTCCCCCCCCACTTCCCATATGTTCCCACATTTTCTGGGGGATCGACGATGACTTGTGTCTGTGTGTTTTTCCCCTCCTGAGCCTTTTGATGTCACAAGAGGCGACACCTGACCCAGCTATTCCCCCGACCCCATTGGCAGAGGAAGAGGCGCCCGAGGAGGGAGCAGGAGGGCAGGTAGCCTGGTGTGAAGAGGAGTATGTTGAGGCGCGTGCATTCCTGGATGAGCAGAGCCGTGTGCCAGTGCCGATGACTCCAGTCACACTCTCAGAGAGCCAGTTGCAGCGTATTCTAGTGAATAGGCAAGAGGCCCGTAGGCGCCGCAAGGCGAGGCTACAGGCTGAGCGTGAGGCCAGGCTTCGAGTTGTGGCACCTTGGACGGCGGATCCAAATTTCAGCCTTCACCTGTTCGATTAGGCCCAGCCAGTGGGTAGGTCGATGATAGGAAGTGATCAGGATTTTTCCTCCTCCTCCGCCTCCCCCCCTACGTTATCCCTCCTCACTCCGCTCCCCCCCCGCGTGCGGCGAGCGGCAGAGAAGGGGTAGCAGGGAAGGGTTTGCTTGCCCTATCTCTGTCAGTTCTCTCTTCCCCGCGGCGTGCGGCAGTGAAGGGGTAGAAGGGAAGGGTTGTTGCCTCTGGTTGCCGATGCTTCTCTCGCCCCGCCGTTTTGGAACAACGTGAAGTTCATTCAGGACCGTCCCCATGCCTGCTGCATTTTGCTGCATGTTGTTCCCTGCTGGCTCCCACGTGCTGGCCGCCTGGCCGAGTGTGCGAATAGCGTGCCCCGCCATGTCTTTCTGGCGCGGAGGTGTCCGCAGCGGACTCGCTGGGAGGCGAATGTCCTTCTCACCTGCTGCCTCTCCTGCTCACTTATTCAGCCCCTCGCTCTTCCTTTCCTCCTCGTGCACCGTCGATGTCTGAGCCAGTTTTTGGTCAGCGATACGGGTCGGGGATGGGTTAGTGTGGTGGGTGGGATTGGAGCAGACTTATCATATACTCCGCCCTTTTGAGGTCTGGAGCCTGTTCGCGTTTGGCGACACACGGTGCGAATCCGTCATCCCTGAGTGGGTTTGTGTGCCGGTAGAATTCAGGACGGATGGTGAGGGCTACAGGGGGAGGCTGGACCGTGACCACGTACTGTCCCTTGGCGCCCGTGCTTTAGTGCTTGCGATTGCTCGTTTGTCTGAAGCCAGTTGAGTGCCGATCTTTTCTGACCGCATTTATGGCGAATCAGGTCGCAATTCAAATTCCCTCCCTCCCTCCTCCTCTCTCCTCCTCCGTCCCTGGTCCTGGTGGGTAGCCCTCCTCGCCTGGCCACCAGGCGTGTCGGAGGGGCGGGCCGGACGTTTCCCCTCCTGAGCCTTTTGATGTCAAATAGATCCTGAAGCTTGGGCTTCCAGCAGCATCAATAAAGGAGGGTGGGCCATTTCCACGACGAAGCTCACGCCTAAGCTCCGCACGCATCCACCTTACAACTCTGAAATCGTTACTACAAGGATGGCGTGGGTGGATTACCAGATGGAGCTCTCGCCCTAGCGCCGCGAAATTTCGCGTTAGAAGCTTACGGCGATTACCATGATGGAGGCGGGCCGATTTCAAATGGCGCTCTCGCCTTGGCGCAGCGCGCATTTGCCTCCAAAGCGTGCACCATGCGCAGGGGTTCAGGACCGCTCATGTTCAAAAGTGGGCTGTCACTTGGACCTTCCAGATGTTCAGAACGCAGAAGCTTCAACGTACGCACCAGTTGCAAGGATGGGGAACGGTTGGTTTTCGAAATGGGACTCTCGCTTGAGACTTCCTCCAAATACATGACCAGAACAAAAGAAATCGTGCAACATTTGCACAGTGGGGACCGCTCTGTTCAAAACGGGACCATCGCTGGAAACCCCGTCGAACTGCATGATCATAGCGATCCTCATTCCTGATTGCGCGCCAGAACGATGCAAGGCAGGTGCTGGTCTTTTCAGAACGAGGCCCTCGCAAAAATGGCAGGCGCATACGGCGTTGGTCTTTCAAAGGTGTGCTCCGTGTAAGAAAGAGGAAAGATTGCGCATGAGGGAAACTTTAGACGGAAGGTATTGCAGCATCCTTGATGCATCTTCATGTTACTCTGGTCCTCCTCCTCCTTTTCCCTCGTCCCTCCTCCACCTCCTCCTGAAAATATTCATCCTCATGCATCCTTCTCTCCCTCCTCTCATCCATCATCCCTCCTCCTCCTCATTCTCATCCTCATCCTTTCCTCCCTCCTCCTCCTCCTCCTCCTCCTCCACTATCCTCCTCCTCCTCCTACTCCTCCTCCTGCACATCCTCCTCCTCACCCCTCCCCCCTCCCCCCTCCCCCTCCTCCTCCTCCTCCTCCTCCTCCACCACCTCAATTCATTATCCTTATAAAAAGGGGCTCCTCTCTGTCGCACATATGGGTAGGGCGGGCCGGGCGTTCCGCCTGAGACTTCCCGCCATATATGGCTTCTGAAGCGTGAAGGTTGCAACACCTTCACGGATGGAGGACGGGTTGTACTCAAAATGTGACTCTCGCCACAGCGCCGCGCATGTTCGTCTTACAAGCTTGCAGCAGCTTCACGTATGGAGGGCGGGCCGTTTTCAGAATGTGGCTCTCGCTTACCTCCGCCCACTGTCGTCTCAAAAGTTTGCAGCAGCTTCACGGATGGAGGGCGGTTCTTGATTCAACATGTGGCCTTCCAATTAGCGCCGCGCACACTCGTCTCAAAAGTTTGCAGGAGTTTCCAGGATTCGCATGGTCCAAGCCGCAGGGCTTGTGCCCAGGAACGAATTTCGATGGACAGAGCGCAACACTCATGTTGATCCGCGATGCTGACGACCTTGCAATGGAGTTCTGGTTACTAGGGATGTATGAAGAGGGAACTTGAGGGTAGGGGTGATTGCAACGTCGTCCATGCTTCTTGGATATACACTGGTCCTCCTCCTCCTCCTCCTCCTCCTCCTCC